TGAGGGAAGGTAGGCATCTGTCACTAACACACTTCCTCTTCACTCCCCCCTTTGCCTTGTCATTTCTTTTCCTCTGTCACTAGTCACACCCTCCCTCACTCTGTCACTAGAGTGAGGGGGTGACTAGTGACAGAGTGAGGGAAGGAAGGGGTGACTAGTGACAGAGTGAGGAAGGGGGTGACACAGTGACAGAGTGAGGGAGGGGGTGACACAGTGACAGAGTGAAGGAGGTGGTGACTGTCACTAGTCACCGCATCCCTCCCTCTGTCACTAATCACCACCTCCCTCACTCTGTCACTAGTCACCCCTTCCCTCCCTCACTCTGTCACTAGTCACCCCCTCCCTCTCTCTGTCACTAGTCACACCCTCCCTCACTCTGTCACTAGAGTGAGGGGGTGACTAGTGACAGAGTGAGGGGGTGACTAGTGACAGTGAGGCGGTGACAGAGTGAGGGAAGGGGTAACTAGTGGCAGAGTGAGGAAAGGAAGGGGTGACTAGTGACAGAGTGAGGGGATGACTGGTGACAGAGAGGGAGGTGGTGACTGTCACTAGTCACCACCTCCCTCACTCTGTCCCTAGTCACCCCTCCCTCTGTCACTAGTCACCCCCTTCCTCACTCTGTCACTAGTCACCACTTCCCTCCCTTAGTCTGTCAGTAGAGTGAGGGGGTGACTAGTGACAGAGTGAGGGAAGGAAGGGGTGACTAGTGACAGAGTGAGGGAGGTGGTGACTGTCACTAGTCACCACCTTCCTCACTCTGTCACTAGTCACCACCTCCCTCACTCTGTCACTACTCCCTCTCTCTTTCTGTCACTAGTCACCCCCTCCGTCCCTTACTCTGTCACTAGTCACCCCCTAAGTCACTATGTCACCAGTCATCCGCTCACTCTGTCACCAGTCATCCCTTCCTTCCCTCACTCTGCCACCAGTCACCCCTTCCCTCACTCTGTCACCAGTCATTCACTCACTCTAGTGACAGAGTGAGGGAGGGTGTGACTAGTGACAGAGTGAGGGAGAGGGTGACTAGTGACAGAGTGAGGGAGTGATTAGTGACAGAGTGAGGGAGGGAATGGGTGACTAGTGACAGAGGGAGGGGTGACTAGTGACGGGGGGTGACTAGTGAGGGAGGGTGTGACTAGTGACAAAATGAGGGAGAGGGTGACTAGTGACAGAGGGAGGGAGATGGTGACTAGTGACAGAGTGAGGGAGGTGGTGACTGTCACGTCACCCCATCCCTCCCTCTGTCACTAGTCACTCCCTCCCTAACTCTGTCACTAGTCATCCCTTCACTCTCTCACTAGTCACCTCCTCCCTCTGTCACTGTGTCACCCCATTCCTCCCTCTGTCACTAGTCATCCCCTCCCTTACTCTGTAACTAGTCACCCCGTCCCTCACTCTGTCACTAGTCACCCCCTCCCTCACTCTGTCACTGGTCATCCCCTCCCTCACTCTAGCAACAGAGTGAGGAGGGGTGACTAGTGACACGTGAGGGGGTGACTAGTGACAGTGGGGGGGTGACTAGTGACAGTGACTAGTGACAGTGGGGGGTGACTAGTGACAGTGGGGGGGTGATAGTGACAGTGGGGGGTGACTAGTGACAGTGAGGGGAGGTGACTAGTGACAGTGGGGGGGTGACTAGTGACAGTGAGGGGAGAGGTGCACTCTAGCACAGTGGGGAGGTGACTCAGTGACAGTGTGGGGGGAAGTACTAGTGACAAGTGAAGGGAGGTGATTAGTGACAGTGCTGGGTAATTAGTGACAGTGGGGGTGACTAGTGACAGGAAGGACTTGAAGTGACAGTGAGGGGAGGTGACCAGGTGACAGTGGGGGTGGGATTAAAGTGACAGTGGGGGGGGCGGACTAGTGACAGTGAGGGGGGAAGCACTGAAGTGACAGTGAGGGGAGGTGGACTAGGTGACAGTGGGGGTGATCTCCAGACAGTGGGGGCTGGACTAGTGACAGTGAGGGAGGTGACTAGCACAGTGGGGGTGACTAGTGACAGTGGGGGGCAAGTGACTAGTGACAGTGGGGTGACTAGTGACAGTGAGGGAGGTGACTAGTGACAGTGGGGCACAGCAGTGGGGTGACTCAGTGACAGTGGGGAGGGGTGACTAGTGACAGTGGGGGGTGATTAGTGACAGTGGGGGGGTGACTAGTGACAGTGGGGGGGTGACTAGTGACAGTGAGGGGAGGTGACTAGTGACAGTGGGGGGGTGACTAGTGACAGTGAGGGGATGACTGGTGACAGAGAGGGAGGTGGTGACTGTCACTAGTCACCACCTCCCTCACTCTGTCCCTAGTCACCCCTCCCTCTGTCACTAGTCACCCCCTTCCTCACTCTGTCACTAGTCACCACTTCCCTCCCTTACTCTGTCAGTAGAGTTAGGGGGTGACTAGTGACAGAGTGAGGGAAGGGGTGACTAGTGGCAGAGTGAGGAAAGGAAGGGGTGACTAGTGACAGAGTGAGGGAGGTGGTGACTGTCACTAGTCACCACCTTCCTCACTCCGTCACTAGTCACCACCTCCCTCACTCTGTCACTACTCCCTCTCTCTTTCTGTCACTAGTCACCCCCTCCGTCCCTTACTCTGTCACTAGTCACCCCCTAACTCACTATGTCACCAGTCATCCGCTCACTCTGTCACCAGTCATCCCTTCCTTCCCTCACTCTGCCACTAGTCACCCCTTCCCTCAATCTGTCACCAGTCATTCCCTCACTCTAGTGACAGAGTGAGGGAGGGTGTGACTAGTGACAGAGTGAGGGAGAGGGTGACTAGTGACAGAGTGAGGGAGTGATTAGTGACAGAGTGAGGGAGGGAATGGGTGACTAGTGACAGAGTGAGGGAGGGGTGACTAGTGACGGGGGGTGACTAGTGATGGAGGGTGTGACTAGTGACAAAATGAGGGAGAGGGTGACTAGTGACAGAGGGAGGGAGATGGTGACTAGTGACAGAGTGAGGGAGGTAGTGACTGTCACGTCACCCCATCCCTCCCTCTGTCACTAGTCACTCCCTCCCTAACTCTGTCACTAGTCATCCCTTCACTCTGTCACTAGTCACCTCCTCCCTCTGTCACTGTGTCAATCCATTCCTCCCTCTGTCACTAGTCATCCCCTCCCTTACTCTGTAACTAGTCACCCCGTCCCTCACCCTGTCACTAGTCACCCCCTCCCTCACTCTGTCACTGGTCATCCCCTCCCTCACTCTAGTGACAGAGTGAGGAGGGGTGACTAGTGACACAGTGAGGGGGTGACTAGTGACAGTGGGGGGGTGACTAGTGACAGTGGGGGGAGGTAACTAGTGACAGTGGGGAGGTGACTAGTGACAGTGGGGGGGTGACTAGTGACAGTGGGGGGTGACTAGTGACAGTGAGGGGAGGTGACTAGTGACAGTGGGGGGGTGACTAGTGACAGGAGGGGGGGTGACTAGTGACAGTGGGGGGAGGTGACTAGTGACAGTGGGGGGGTGACTAGTGACAGTGGGGGGTGATTAGTGACAGTGGGGGGTGATTAGTGACAGTGAGGGGAGGTGACTAGTGACAGTGAGGGGAGGTGACTAGTGACAGTGGGGGGTGATTAGTGACAGTGGGGGGGTGACTAGTGACAGTGGGGGGGTGACTAGTGACAGTGAGGGGAGGTGACTAGTGACAGTGGGGGGGTGACTAGTGACAGTGAGGGGATGACTGGTGACAGAGGGGAGGGTGACAGTGACAGTGGAGGGTGACTAGTGACAGTGAGGGGGGTGACTAGTGACAGTGGGGTGAGTGGGGAGTGACAGTGGGAGTGAGTGACAGTGGGGGGGTGACTAGTGACAGTGGTGGGGGGGTGATTAGTGACAGTGGGGGGGTGACTAGTGACAGTGGGGGGGTGACTAGTGACAGGGGGGGTTAGAGGGGTACCTAGTGCCTACCTGTCTCTCTGCTCCTTGTGGTCTCCCCGGCTGCTGCTCCTTCCCCTCCTGGGCTCTGTCTGTGAGAGGAGTAAACAGGTCCCCGCCTCTCCCATCACACAGAGCACCGCGGGACTGGAAGCAGGAGACCTGGCAGAGAGGAGGTGAAGCTGCCAGGTCTCATGGGAGGAGGGTGGATTTAGAGAGCGGTAGGCTGTGGGGCCCCGCGCTGCATCAGGGGCCCCACAACCTATCATTCAAATAGTTTTATTTATTTTTTCGTTCCAGTTGGAGA